CAGCTATGGTCCCAGAGATCACATGGTATAGTACGGGGGTGATCAGGTTTGTCTGACTGCAAAGCCCATATTCCTAAACATCAAATTATGCTGCCCAGTGTGCAACCATCCTGGCAGATACATCCAGATCATCTATAGTATGAACCTAATGTTTCAAGCTTAGAGAAGACAAACATAACACCTGTAATTTCTTAAAGATTGCTAAGCTTTCCATGTACTTTGCCAAGGTAAAACTGCAGAAGCCTGAGTGTCTAAAAAGTTATTACATCATGCTGTCCCTCCTGCTAAAAACTGTTTCTCTCACGAGTACTCTGAATTAAGGGTTCTCTTACAGGGCTTGCACATACTCAACGTGTTCTCACAAAGTCTTTTATATCAATTCCAGCTGTGAAGACATGGTTTGACTGCTAGTTAAGAATAATGAAAAGGCTACCATACAATGGAAAAGTTAAGCAGACCACCCTCGCTGAAAAACGGGGTCAGAGGAAGAGGTTGATTTATATATATCATAATATTTTACTTAAAATAACAAAGGCCACCTGTGCATTAGTTTCTTTTGTTTTCTATTTTATGTAATTTCAGGATTTGTTGTGGTTGCAACATACATGTCAAATCAGCTGAGTGAGAAAATAAATGCATCAGTGAGAACATTAACTATGGTAGCTACTTACTATTAAGGGGGATATTTAAGTAGCAAATGAAGCAAACAAAAATGAAGTTTATATATAATGGAGTTGCATGTTAAGCTGGAGTTTGGATTCTAAATTTAAATAACTTAAAAATTACATGGAAACAAAGTTACCTATGAAATCCTTTAAAATGCTTATAGAGTGCACCATTTATGATTTTGCACCTACTCAATGACTTTCTAGATTATTTTATTAATTCCTCTATTTTTTAAAAGCAATGTTTCTTCATAGCCTCCAGTTAGTTTCTGCAGATTGCTCTGGAGCAGTTACCACCCCAAAGCCTCACCATTTATTCAGTCATTTCCACACTCTGTCGATTTTGAGGGACATCCTTAAAGTATTGACACCTTTGATGTCAAAGTATTTTTAATGAGCATGACGTTTCTTGCTCATTGTGTCTTTCCCTAAGTGAGTTTTGCCTCAAATTTTATGGCACATTGAAACCACCTATAAAGTTGTCAAGATCTTAATATCCAGGCATCCCTCTGCCAATTTAATCAAAATGTCTGGGTAACATTCAGGTTTCAGTGTATTTAAAGCTCCCTGGTCAGTTCTAATGACAGCCATATTTGAGAATCAGTAGTCAAAGGAACAAACTCAGCGGTTGTGTGAATGAAAAATACTGCAAACCATGTCAGTAAACAGAGAATGTTGAAGCCATCAAGTCATCAGTGGCTGCCACCAACCCCCAGTGGGGACAGGCTTGCAGCCCAGCCTCTGCAGCCACTCATAATGGTGCCCTCTGAGCGGACTCAGAATAAGAAAGGAGAGGATACTGGCCCTAGATAGCTAGGTGCTTGTCAAAGGAATGAATTCAGTGAGCCCAAACATTTGCTTCCTCCCATACATAGAAAAGCGCTAAATTCTTTAACTTGAGATGCTTGGTTTTCTTTAGTTGACAACCAATCTTTTAAGGTTCCAACCCCGTGGTCTTTGTTGTAAAGCTCCTATATAGCCTAGCCCCTCCCCTACCTCTTCAGCGCAGTCCCTCAGGGCTGCATCCTCAGAATTGTCTACCGAATAAAACATAACTCTCAAATTTTAGGTTGTTCATTTATTTCAGTCCACAGTTTGAATGGCAGGCATAACTCACACATACTTCCAAAGTTACTTGTTTCTCTTAGTTTTGTTTGCCCAACCTATGATTGAATAAGTCCATCATGCCAGTCAAATTCTACTTAGAATGTGCCTATTTTTTTATATGAAAAGACTCACCAAGGTTTAGGAGGACAATAACAGTTTTAAGAAGATTAATTTTCAGTACCTCCGTTTCCCATGCCTGTCTCTTTGTGAAAATGATTTGCCTGAGAGCACCTATGGTTTTGGTCCTTTTGTATATTGCCTTTTCAAAGCCCAGCCTTCTCCCAGTTTACAAATGAAAATATTTCTCACTCATCTGAAATCTTGTATGATTCCTTGCTCCAAGGTATAAAACTATTCAGAGTTCTAAACAGTTTAGGAAAACACTCCCATCTAATTAATAAGACAAATTTCAAGCAAAAGCTAAATTTATGTTTAATGATTAATCATCAAAATTGGAAGTTTATAGGCAATTTTAATCAGTTTATACTAAAAGAATTTTAATTTTAATGCAAACAGAAATATTTTACTATTATAATACATAGAATCTATAGTAACTTATGGTTACAAGAATAAAATTCCAATCAGTGTGTGTATGTGTGTGAGTTTATCTGAATTTTAAAGAAGTAAAATAAGAAATAAAATAAAATAACCAAAGAAATAGTTTCAGTAGCAAAAATAAATTACTTTTCC